TCTCTGTATTCTTGTGTATGTTTGATTAAATTTTTCATTTAAACAATATTCTTTAGAAATAAAGAGTTTAATCCAGAAAGAAAAAGAAATAGGTAAGAAGCAATGATTGTTACTCATAGAAGAATCGTATTAGATAGTGAGATCCCTCTATTCAGACCTGAATGAACAGAGTGAGCAGCTGGTGCTCAAATCCTCAGCATGATAAGCTGCAAGCCAACTAGGCACTTAGAATCACAATTCAGTGAGAAGAAACAAGGCCTTCATGCACTCCAAAAGACACTTTATGTGAAAAACAAAGTGTATTTTGGTAAGTTCATTCTTATTTAGAAGTTATAGTTATATATAACTGCTGAAGAACAATAACTTTTTTATTTTTTATTTCATTTTTGTATTACAGGCTTTTGAGAAATTTGAACACTCTAAAAAACTTTAATTCAGAGAAAACTGTTGAGCTAATGAGAAAGGAGTCTTCTAATGTGCTTGCTGTGCTTTCTGTATTTTTAAAGATACTGTCATTTTTTTACATCTCAATTTATTTGATGACTGTACCTCTCAAATTATTAGGAAAAGATTATTTCCTATTTGTGCTTTTCCTTAGATTGTTATCATGCAAGGTCCAGACACCTAACATGACTTCATTCGTGTTGGCTGCAGAAATGGGTGTGTTCCTCATGATTTGTGGTGACATTAGTGGAAAGTTAGAGCCATATCTGCACTAGCCAAGTAGAATTCTCCTGTCTGCTGGAAAGCAGCTATGGAAAAAGATCATTCATTTATAGATCACAAGTGTGGACCACAGTATGAGTAGTTTTTGCTGGTTGAATGGTGGCTGCCAAAAAGATGTGTCCAAGTCCTAACTCTCAGTACCTGTGAATTTACCTTATTGAAAATAAGGCCTTCACAGATGTAATTGAAAAATCTCAGGATGAGATCATCCTTTATTTAGGGTGGGGTGTATCCTTATAAGGACAATGACTGTGTCCTTATAAGAGAAAAGAGAGGAAGATTTGAAACACAAGAGAGACTTAGGGGAAAAGCCATGTGAAGATGAAGGCAAGAGATTGGAGTTATGCAGCTACAAGCCAAGGAATGTCAGAAGATAGTAGAAATGCACTTTTGTGGTGGTTCACGCCTGTAATCCCAACACTTTGGAAGGCTGTGGTGGGTGGATCACCTGAGGTCAGGGGTTCAAGACCTGAGGTCAGGGGTTCCAGCCTGGCCAACATGATAAAACCCTGTCTCTAATAAAATACAAAAATTAGCCAGGCATGTGTCAGGTGCCTGTAATTCCAGCTACTCAGGTGCTGAGGCAGGAGAATTATTTAGGAGGCAGAGGTTCCAGAGAGACAAGATCATAGCACAGCACTCTAGCCTGAGTGACAGAGTGAGACTCCATCTCAAAAAAAAAAGGAAGATAGGAGAAATGCATGGAACAGATTTTCCCTTACAGTCTCTAGAAGGAGCCAACCCCACTAATACCTTGATTTTGGATTTCTGGCCTCCAAAATGGTGAGAAAATAAATTTCTATTGCTTTAAGCCACCCAGTTTATGGTAATTTGTTTTGGCAGACATAGGAAAGTAATACTACTGATATGGGGCAAGCTCTCAAAGAAATACTCTGATGAACTGGAATAAATTACTAAGTAAATAGATTTTTACATGGTCTCTGGTCATTCATTTATTCATTTATTCACTCAACAAATACCTATTTATTATATACTTGGCTCTAAAATATGACAGAGAATTTTTAGATACTTTGACACATTCGGTCCAGGGTAAATTTGGTTACTGCTAACCTGGTAGGTGGGAGAAAATTTTCTGTAGAGATTTTGTACTTACTTTAAAAGCTCTGTTATCTCTTCAGGATTCTTCATAAGATAACCTTTACATGCTGCGTAACAAGTGGCTAACAAAGAAGTAAAATAGGATTTTCTTAGAATTTCATCTAAGGCAACAAATATGAAAACAATAAGTAATAAATACTCCCTAATTAGAAGAAAAGGCACTGGATATATCTTTGCAGGATTTACAAAAAGATAAAACACTTATTAATAAGCACTCCATATATGAGAAAAGAGTTTTAGACAAGGAGTCATTGAAGAGAATTCATAGAGCAGAAGGTGTCAAGATTTTTCTTCTTGGTAACACTCCTCATAGGTGGGCTAAATATATCGCACAACTCTGGGGGCACCATTCATCCCACAGTCAATAGAGATGTATGTAGTATTATGACAGTTTTCCAACAGATAGCCGCAAAGTGTCTTGAGGAGCAAAGTCCTTTTTCTGATTCACAAAAGGTCATATGGACTAGCAGAAGCTCTGTGCCTTTTCTTTCTCTCCCACAGCCTCCCCCAAGCCAAATATGTAGAGTTGCAAGAGAATCTTGATAGATGTTGGAACTAACTGCAACAGGAGAAACTAGCATCTCCCTCCCTAAATGAGTGCTGGCCAAGCTACAGAAACTTAGACCTGCCTCGGGCTACTTGCTATATCAGAACAGAGCCTGGGAGTCCTGGGAGAACCTAAGTGTTCCAGAAGCCTTGGGGTAGATGCTTGCTCCTTAACTGAAGAAATCTAAAGGCAGGAGACTGGCTAGGGCTACCATGAGAATAGGACAAGGAAAGAGGAGTCAGAGCTGGTTGCATTGGGCTTTCACTGACAAGGCAAGATTATGTGAGTTCCTGGGACCAAATGTATACTCTGGCTAGAAGTAACCAGGCATGAACTGTCTGAAAGAAACTTGCTTGACCACTGAGTGACAGCCCTTTTACCACCGTCCCCAAAGAAGGGATATACAATTAGAGGATAAAGGTAAGAGAAGATCACCAAAGGTCACCTGGAGAAAGGATTGCCTTTGGCACAGAAATCCACCAGAGGGTTGTCAAAGTGCCCAAAAGGAGAGACATTTGGTCATCTGCTATTACAGAGGGCATTCCACAGCCAAGAGAAAATTCTAGACAGCACCAGCCTTTGCCCATTTAGGTGTCATCCATTCACCCTTCCTACTCTGGAGAAGCCAAAGCTACAAAACAGCAGGACCAAGAAAAGAAAAGTTTAAAAAAAAAAAAAAAAAGGCTGAGCTCAGTGGCTCATATTTGTGGTCCCAGCACTTTGGGAGGTCAAGGTGTGCAGATCACCTGAAGTCAGGAGTTCAAGACTAGCCTGGCCAACATGGCAAAACACCATCTCTACTAAAAATACTAAAATTAGCTGGCCATGGTGGCAGGCACCTGTAATCCCAGCTACTCAGGAGGCTGAGGCAGTTGAATCTCTTGAACTGAGGAGGTGGAGGTTGCAGTGAACTGAGATCATGCCACTGCACTCCAGCCTGGGAACAAAGCAAGACTCCCTCTCTCTCTCAAAAAAAAAAAAAAAAAAGTCCTACCTCCCTTTCCTCAGAGTGGGTTTCCAAGCCACCAATCAAGCCTAAGAAATTGCTTTTCACTGTATACCAGTTTGTTCTATCTAAAAGAACATAAATTATTACTTAGTAGGTTCATCTCTCTCAGGAAGCTCATGTGCATTAGGGAAGCTGGACACCTGACCATCAGCAATAACCAGCTCTCTGTCACCCTATCACTATTTTTTTTTTTTGAGACAGAGACTCCCGCTGTCACCAGAGTGGAGTGCAGTGGCATGATCTCGGCTCACCCAACTTCCAACTCCCTGGTTCAAGCAGTTCTCCTGCCTCAAGCTCCCAAAGAGCTGGGATTACAGGCATGTGCCACCCTGCCAAGCTAATTTTTGTATTTTTAATAGAGACGGTTTCACCATGTTGGCCAAGTTGTTCTCCATCTTCTAACCTCATGATCTGCCATCCTACCCCTCCCAAAGTGCTGGGATTATAGATGTGAGCCACTGCCCGTGGCCCACCCTGGCACTATTCTCATACTCTGAAAACTAGAAAGCATTAAGACAACATTGTTAAGAGTAAGCAATGATGCTCAAACTGATCTATAAATTCAAGCAATACTACTCAAACTAATCTACAGATTCAACACAATTTCTACCCAATCCCAAACTGTCTTTTTTTTCTTTTTTGGAAAAATTTACAAGCTGATTCTAAAATGTATATGGTAATGTAAGGGACTCAGAATTGCAAAAACAATCTCTAAAAATAAAGTTAGAGGACTCACAGTCTTATTTCAAAACTTACTACAAAGTTGCAGTAATCAAGATAGTGCAGTACTGGTATAAAGCTAGACATGTAGATTAATGAAATAGAATCAAAAGTCCAGAAATAAATTCCAACACTTACAGTCAATGGATTTTCAACAAGGATGCCAAGACAACTCAATGGAGAAAGAATAGTCTTCTCAACAAATAGTGCCAGTACAACTGGATAGCCATATGCAAAAGAATGAAGTTGGACCCTTTCCTCACATCACACACAAAAACTAACTCAAGATGGACCATAGACATTGCAAGAGCTAAAATTATAAAACTCTTAGAAAAAAAGTGATAAATCTTCATGACTTAAGATTCAGCAATAGTTTCTAAGATAAGACATCAAAGCTCAGTGACAAAGAATAGATAAATTGAACTAAAGATATCATCAAAAACATCAAAAGGCCAGGTGCAATGGCTTACACCTGTAGTACCAGCACTTTGGGAGGCCGAGGTGGGTGGATCATGAGGTCAGGAGATCAAGACCTTCCCGGCCAACATGGTGAAACCCCATCTCAACTAAAAATCCAAAAATTAGCTGGCATGGTGGCACATGCCTGTAGTCCCAGCTACTTGGGAGACTGAGGCAGGCAAATCACTTGAAACTGGGAGGCAGAGGTTGCAGTGAGCCAAGTTCATGCAACTGCACTCCAGCCTAGGCAGAGTGCAGACTCCATCTCAAAAAATAAAAAAATTTTTTTAAGTTTTTAAATGGTGAAAAGACAACCTACATAATAAGAGAAAATATTTGCAAATCATATATCTGATAAGGGATTTGAATCTAAAATATAGAAAGAACACTTAAAACTCAATTTAAAAATTTTTTAATTGCCAAAGAGTCTGAATAAACATTTCCCCAAAGCTTATATACAAAGCATGTGAAAATATGCTAAACCTCAATAGCTATCAGGAAAATGCCAATCAAAACCACAGTGAAATACTGCTTCGGCCCACTAGGATGACAATAATGAAAAAGGCATGAGAGACAGATCCAAGATGGCCGATTAGGAGCAACTCAGGATTGCAGTTCCCAGTGAAAGTGTGGAGGATGAGTGGATGCCACATATCCAGACGGATTTTTATTACCCACAGACCAGAAGATTCCCAGGTGGAAGAGCCCCACGGGTTGCCAGCATGGCTGTTTGTGTCTCTGCACAAAATCCAGGCACCATTTTAGCTGGCGATTGGAGCTCCTGGGAGATAGAGTCGCCCATTCAACTGATAAAAAAGGGGACTGAAACAGGGAATCAGACCAGGAGATTCCCAAGAAAAAAAAAAGCACCACGAATCTCAGCATGGCTGTTTCAGCAAGTGCAGTGGGTCACGGCACATTTTCAACAGGCAAATGGAACACCTGGGAGACAGAGTCGACCATTCAACTGAAAAAAAAAAGTGGGGGGATCTGAGGCAGGGAGCCAGGTGATCGGGCTTGGCTGGTCTCACCCCCACAAAAAAAAAACAGCAATCTGAAACACTCTAGATTGAGAGTTTCACAGCAAGCACAGCTTAACTCAGGATGGTCCAGCTCTGTGGGGGAGGGGTATCCGCCATTACCGAGGCAGTCCACCACTATGGAGGTAGTCCACCATTGCCGAGGCAGCCCATCATTACAGAGACAGTCCACCATTACAGAGGTGGGCCCCCATTGCCAAGGCATTCTAACTATACCAGTATAAACAGGACTGCAGAGAAGTTCACACAGCAGCTGGGTGGACCCCAGAGCAGCTCAGCAAAGCCTCTGCAGGCAGACTGTGACTGGGCTGCCTCCTCACTGGGCAGGGCAGCCCTGAAAAAAGGCAGCAGCATGACAGAAACTTATAAATAAAGCCCTAACTCCCAGGGACAGAGCACCTGGGGGAAAAAAAAGAGCGTTTATACGTTCTGCTGCAGCAGACTTAAATGTACCAGCCCAGCAGCTGTGAATGAAAAACAGAGCTCATAGTTCAGCACTTGAACTCCTATAATGGACAGACTGTCCCTTCAAGCAGCTCTCTGACCCCATATATCCAAAGAGTCACCTCATAAAGGAGATCTCAGACTGACATATGGTGGGTATCCTTCGGGGACAAAGATAGCAGAAGAAGAAACTGGCAGCAACCCTTACTGTTCTGCAGCTGCTGCAGGTGATCCCCAGGCAAGCAGGGCCTGGAGTGGACCTCAGCAGTCCTACAGCAGAGAGTCCTGACTGTTAGAAGGAAAACTAATAAACAGAAAGAAATAACTTCATCATCAACAAATTGGACGTCCACTCAGAAACCCAATCTGAAAGTCAACAACTACAAAGATGACAGGTGGATAAATCCACAAAGATGGGAAGAAACCAGCACAAAAAGGATAAAAACACCCGAAACCAGAATGCCTCTCCTCCTCCAAGGGATCACAACTCCTCACCAGCAAGGGAACAAGGCTGGATGGAGAATGAGTGTGATGAATTGACAGAAACTGGCTTCAGAAGATGGGTAATAAGAAACTTCTGTGAGCTAAAAGAACATGTTCTAACCCAATGCAAAGAAACTAAGAACCTTGAAAAAAGATTTGACAAAATGCTAATGAGAATAAACAGCTTAGAGAGGAATATAAGTGAATTGATGGAGCTGAAAAACACAACACAATAACTTCACGAAGCATACACAAGTTTCAACAGCTGAACTGACCAAGCAGAAGAAAGGATATTAGAGGTCGAAGATCAACTCAATGAAATAAAATGATAAGGCAAGATTAGAGAAAAGGCAACCACTGGGGCTGAAGTTCCCGCCGGGTCAGTGACAGATGAGAGAGATGCTGCCTGGCCCGCCTCGGCTTTGAGGCGACAGAAGTGTCCCAGACCCCTTTCATCTTGTTGATGACATCGAGCTCCAGGCAGACATGTCCATGGGGTTCTCCTTCGGGTCCAGGACTTTGGACCCCACCACCGTAGCCCCCGGCAGGACCAGCACAGGTGGCAGTTTCTCCTTTGGGACGGGAGTGTCTAGCAACCCTTCTGTGGGGCTCAATTTTGGAACTCTTGGAGGTCCTGCAACTCCAGCAACTACACCTGCTCCTTCAAGCTGGTTTTGGAACCAGGCTCTTTGGATCTAAACCTGCTACTGGGTTCACTCTAGGAGGAACAAATACAGGGACACCAGCCACTACATCTGCCCCTACAACAGGCTTCAGTTTAGGATTCAATAAACCTGCAGCATCTGCCACACCATTTGCTCTACCTATTACTTCTACCTCAGCTAGCAGTCTCACTCTTTCCTCTGCTCTGACATCAACTCCAGCAGCTTCCACAGGATTTACCCCAAATAATTTGGGTGGGACAATAGCCACAACTACAACTGCATCAACAGGCCTCTCTCTAGGGGGAGCCTTAGCTGGTTTGGGAGGTTCACTTTTCCAGAGCACAGACACAGCAACATCAGGACTAGGACAGAATGCTTTAGGCTTGACTTTGGGAACTACAGCAGCTACTTCAAGTGCAGGCAATGAAGGCCTTGGTGGCATAGATTTTAGTAGCTCCTCAGATAAAAAGAGTGATAAAACAGGAACAAGACCAGAGGATAGTAAAGCTCTGAAGGATGAAAATCTACCTCCTGTCATCTGCCAGGATGTTGAAAATCTCCAGAAATTTGTCAAGGAGCAGAAACAAGCTCAAGAAGAAATTAATAGAATGTCTTCAAAAGCAATGCTTAAGGTACAAGAAGATATTAAAGCTCTGAAGCAGCTCCTGTCATTGGCTGCCAATAGACCACAGAGAAACACTCTCAACATTGACAAATTGAAAATAGAAACTGCTCAGGAGTTAAAGAATGCTGAAATAGCTTTAAAAACCTAGAAGGCACCACCTGGACTTCAACATAAATATGCAGCTCCTGCTGACTACTTCAGAATCTTGGTTCAGCAATTTGAGGTACAGCTTCAGCAATACAGACAACAGATTGAAGAACTAGAAAATTATCTTGCCACTCAAGCAAATAATTCACATATAACCCCTCAAGATTTGTCAATGGCTATGCAGTAAATTTAAAAAACATTTGTAGCTTTAGCAGCACAACTTCAGTCTATTCATGAAAATGTAAAGGTTCTGAAAAACAGTACCTTGGCTACAGGAAAATGTTCTTGGGAGATGCTGTTGATGTGTTTGAAGCAAGACGAGCAGAAGCCAAGAAGTGGCAGAACACACCCAGAGTTACTACCGGACCCACCCCTTTCAGCACCATGCCAAATGCAGCAGCCATTGCCGTGGCTGCAACACTTACACAGCAGCAACAGCCTGCTACAGGTCTGAATGCATTCAAGTTATAGCTTCTTACTGTTCCAATGCAGAACATTTATGTGCATTTTTATGTCTTCCATTTGTGTGAGCACTGAAGAAATTTCTATGAGTAGCTGTTCTAATACAATCTAAAATTGTGATGGACACAATTATAAACATACCTGATTAAAAAAAATCAGGGTAGTCTTAGCAATAATTATACATCAATTAGATATTTAATATTGTGAATTAATGTTATTTGTTGTATTGCTATGAATACCCTTGAGAACATGATGTTCCACTAGTGAATTACATTTAAGAATAACGTTAGATTCTAAAATCATGATTGTACCATTTATTGTTTTAAAGTCAGAGATCATCCATCCATCCATACGTTGAATTTTTCATATATGATACTGATTGATGGTGCAGTCTCATTTTCCTCATACATAGTGATTACAGAGTACCCACATTCAGGATGAAGTATGCTTTTGTTGACCGAAGGTATGTTGAAGATCAGTACGGTTGTTTCTATGTATGTTGACTGTAAACAGAATACAGGCCCTCTAAACCCAATTTTGAAGAAGATACATGCTAGAATTGTGCCTTTTCAAGGTGAACAGAAGAGCAGCAAGAGCAGGAAGAAAGATGTTTTGAGATGTGAATTGCACATTAAGCACAGGAGAAGGGTGTTTTGAGATGCAGATTGCACATTAAGGAGCAACTGGGAAGTTGAACAGATGTGAATAATTGGTAACATAGAAAGCAGGTTTTATTCCTTGATTTAGTTACACTTTTAATTAGAGAAACATTTTTGTGGTTATTCTACAGTGTTTTATTTGGTCCTGTGTCTTTTGGACCAAATAGCTCAATTCTGCCATCCCTTTCATCAGGTTTGAAGTTTTACATGGAAAAATAGTCTTAATGGATATTGATTTTTTTTCTTTAATCATTTGTAATTTTTTAGTAATACTTATTCATTAGCATGTGTCTTTCTGAGAGTTCTATATAGTCCAGTAGTAAATTATCATACAAAAAAAATTAAATATACATATTTAGATTGCATTCAGACTGCCTATATTAGGGAAGCATTCTCTGGTTTTCACTATTGGCAGTTTAAAAAATTGTTCTTCACATTTGGAGATGACAGAATTGACTTGCCATAAGTAAAGGGTTGATGAAAGATTTGGCATAAGCCAAATCCTCCATATTCATGGCTGGACCCATGTGAATAGTAGCTGGCATGAGCGCTGTCTGATAGCTCTCTAGCTGGCTGGAGTGTAGGATTGCATTCTAAGTTATGGAGGGAAAAAGTCATTATGGGATTGATTCATTTGAGGATTGATGATTTCTTTTTTAAAGGAATCAATCCCAAAATTATGACCATCAGCTCTCATGATTATTTAACCAGTTAATCACATCAAACATAATACTAGTTTACTTTTTAGAGCCAGTATTAATCCTAAAGTAGGTAAGTGTAGATTTGGTTAAGTGTTCTTTAAGCATAGTGAATTTCCATTCTAATAAATAAAACTTGAGAAGTGTCAGTTATATAAAAAGTTATGTTGTAAGTGAATATATTCTATGATAAATTCCTAAACTTGAAGCAAAACCTCCTGTCAAAGGTGTGTGTGTGTGTGTGTGTGTGTGTGTGTGTGTGTGTGTACCTTATCTGGACAGTATTATCTTGAGAAATTAGTAGGTTTTCATTTACGCATTTTGAGCTCATGGACATATGGAGGTGCGTGTTCATTCTCTAAATGAGTGCCTACTATGTGCTGGGCTCGGGAATACAAAGGTGGACAATATAAATTTCATGTTTGCCTCTGTGGTGGTTGAGAATGTTAGCTTAATTTGGAGTAATCTTGCGGAGCCTTTTGCTCATAGGCTTTACTTTTGTCTTTTGCCAGGCTTTGGGGAAATTGACTGCTTTCAGTCTTCCCTGAAATTTTGAACTCAATGTAAGGGCTTTCTAATCAGATGGCAGAAATTATAATTTATTAACCTAAACAACCATACAGTGTTTTTACTTTGAATTTTATGAATTCTTAGAACTGCAAAGCTAAACAATAGTGATAACAATTTTACATTATCTTTTCTTTTTCCTTTTGTTTCTCTAAAGGTCTCCCAGGCCTTCCCAGTCAAAATTTTAGTCATTTTAGTCACCATGATTTGAGATTTATGAGCTCTGCTAGATACATTTAGAAATGTCCCTATTTATTGAATGGTGTTTTGTACTACTAAGTTATTCCTTATGCCCTGTGACTTTTGTGAAATCATTTTTTTAAGTGCCAATAACAAATTTTAGACTATCTAGATGAAGGTAGTTTGAGCTTATGCATTGTTTTTATACATCATTGTTGATATATGCAAGATTTGAGTTATCAGAGGGGTTATGCTTTTATTTGCTTATGGATTTTTTTATTAACATGAATATGGGCAAATAGCTTCTTAGACTGCTGCCTTCTGAAGGTGGCTTCTGTGACTTTCTCCAAGGAGGAGGAATAGACTTAAATGACTTCTTTGTCCTTCTTTAATTCTTTTTTAATGAAAAAATCTATATACTAGGGCTCAGGCATGTGTAATTTTATGGTTATTTCTTCTGAAGGCTGCAGAGAATTTATGAAAATTCAGCAGGCTATTTGTGTATGAAATCATGGGCATCAGTACATGGATAATGTAGTTTCATGTTGGCAGAACTTGACACTTGTTTATAAGTGCTTTCCAAGCCTCCCAAAAAACTGAAGACTTTACATTAGGCTTTTCAGTATAATTTTAATTTAGGATAGGTTTTTAAGCAATGTACCTGGGACTGAGTTTTGCTGTTGTGTTTTGACACTTTTAAGAGTTCTTGATGTTTACATAGTAAGACTTTTCTTATGTGACTTAGCTGATGTTTTAAGGTGAGCCAAGACGTTTTGTTAGAAATTCCTACTTTTTAGCTTAGTATAGGTTTGGACATTTAAGGTGTAGTGTTAAATAGGAAACTTTAATTATTTTATCTTAGTTTCTTGTTTTGTGATTTTGTTGTATTTAATAACCAAAGGAACATTCCCCATTAAATCAGTAAGAGTAAAATTTTTCAAGCTGGGGAAAAGGCATTTTAGGTTTATTTAAAAAAAATATTTTAAGATATGACTTAGAAATAACCATACTAATTACATTAGGCATTTTGAGTGCTCATGGAAAATTATAAAATATTTTTAGCACTTTAGTCTTTTTTCCGTTAATGCAGTTTACTTTTAAGAAAGTAGAATTTATTCTGGAAAATATGAATTACAGTGCTAAACCTGGTTTTGTTGTGAATATATTGTATGGTAACTTTTGTAAAATGTTAATCTACATGAAGATTTCACTTTGGGTATATATCACTACTAACTTAATTTTATTTATGGAACTAAGAACCTTTCATTGAATGACTATTCAAATTTCAGAGCAGACTTCTTGAATTGTTTATGTAACTTTTGCCTGAAGGATTTAGACTCTGCTTTCTAATAGTGAAAATAACATATATGGTGGCCAGAGTGTAATATATGCTAATCCTTTGGCATGGGAGATATTTATCATGAGTTTTTACTATTAAAAAATGTTGTACATTTGCCTACAAGTTTTATAAATGATGTTGCCTTCAGAATTTGTGTGAAGGAACACAGCTAAAAATGACGTGCAATGGAAAGTCTTGTCATCGTTAGATATGAGTTCTTGATTACCCGTATTCTGAATATTGATGATTAGAAAATCCTTATGTTCTGTTGCTCTTAACAGTAGACCCACACACAACAAAAAGCATGCTATTTGAGTAACTCTTAGGACTTACAAGGCTGAGGGCTATGGTGTGCATTCTTTAGGGTCTTCCACCAGCAGTGCCTCCTATTAACATTTGACATGCAAGTCTCTCAATGTTAAAGAAACTGGACATATGTTTTTTAATGTATTATTTTTGTTAGGAATTAGAAAGTATAAAAATATGCTTGGTTTCTTTTTCCTATAGTAACATTTTACAAAAGAGCTCCTAGGCAGGTATTTTATTCTCAAATTGATCTCAAACTGGATGTAAGATTTGAAATTTTTTTTAATTGTAGTATAAGAATTTTGGCTGCTATTAGTTGTTATTCTTTATTTTCTGGGTAGAAGCTATTCGAAAAATCCAGTTTCTGTCCCAGGGTAGCAAAATGTAGTTAGTTTCCCTGTTGTTTTTCTTTAAATGCTTTATAATTTTACACTACCTTCTTAATATACAAACCTCATTCTTCATTGCACAACTTGAAGGCATTGATTTCTTTAAAAATTTAAATTTTAATGTGTATATTACTTTGACAGTTCCCTTAACTTTGAGATGCACTGATCACTCTGCTTGAAAAAGACAGTACTAAAGATTGTACTATGAAATTTATTGAATAATTTGCATAAATTATTTATCTAAATGAGAGATTTTTAGATTTTTGTATTCTGCTTAGTTAAAAAAAAAAGTAGTTTAAAAGAGAGGCTAGTAAGTTTGATGCTATTCTTGCCAAACAAACTCAGCCAAAATCTTTAAAGTAACAAGTGGGAAAAGGATGACTAATCATTCTGCTTCTGAGTACATTTTCCAAAATGTTGGAAAGAAACTTCTGGATTGAAATCTTGAATGTATTGAATCTGTCAAGGTACACAGCGGTGCCTTTGTAAATGTTCATTATCTTATTTAATCAGGTGATATAAGTGGTGTAACGTAGCAGAGCTTAAGAATAGAACTCAATTATCACTCTTTGTGAACAAGTTGGAATTGTCATGTTACTGTGTAATTGATTTGCTTTACAATGAACAATAAATTTCATAAAATAAAAAAAAAGATTAGAGAAAAAAGGGTAAAAAGGAGTGAGCAAAGTCTTCAAGACCCATATGGGACTATGTGAAAAGACCTAATCTCCGTTTGATAGGCATACCTGAATGTGACAGTGAGAATAAATCCAAGCTGGAAAGTACTTTTCAGGATCTTATCCAGGAAAACTTCCCCAACCTAGCAAGGCAGGCCAATATTCAAGTCCAGGAAATACAGAGAACGTCACAAAGATACTCCTCAAGAAGAGCAACCCCAAGGCACATAATTGTTAGATTCACCAGGGTTGAAATGAAGAAGAAAATGCTAAGGGCAGCCAGAG